CAACATTGGCTGTGGTCTCAGCAAACTGATAAGCTTTTGTGCCCTGCAGTGTTTTATTTTAATTTTAATATTTTTATTTTTCTGGAATAAAGTTTGCTACTGGTTTAATAGACTTTGGTGGTCTGTTCCCCATTATTGCATGACCCCGGACCCAACAATAACAAAGACTAGTTTTAGTTAGTGTTAATCTTATTTTTGTACTATTTATATAAAATTCATACCCACTTCCTCAGCCTATCACAACAATATCCTCAATTACAACAGTAAGGTAAAAAAAAAATCATAGTTCTGTCTTACAGAAAAGGAAGCTTTTGGGGAGGAGACAAATAAAGAACCCACAAAGAGTGGAGTTGAGTTTTAAATCAGGTATGGAGGCACAGGCTTGCAATCCCAACACTTGGGAGGCATCACAGGAGTATCAGGAACTTAAGGCTATCTGCATTCTCCACTACACAATAAGTTTGAGGTCAGCCTGGGTTACACTGAGACCTTGTCTCCAGGAAAAAAAAATAAAATAAAAATAAAAATAAAAAAAAAAAAGGCCACCGCTTTAATCCCAGCCCTCGGGCAGCAGAGCCAGGCAGATCTCTGTGAGTTCGAGGCCAGCCTGGGCTATAGAGTGACTTCCAGGAAAGGCCCAAAGCTGCACAGAGAAACCCTGTCTTGAAAAACAAACAAACAAAAAAGGAAGTGCCTGAATTTAGAGGTGACTTCCTAAAAGCAGCTTGATGTCTCTGCTTTGGTCTCAGGTCTTGGGGGAACTGCTATGAGTTGCTTCTCCCTTCACAAGGAGCTTACTTTTTGCTACTCAGCTCTGTGTGAAAACTGTAAGTGGTTGTCCTATGTATTTTTCTTTTTGTTCTTTAATCTTTGTACCAGTTATAATTAGAGTTGTTGGAAGAAAGGAAGAAAAAGACCCAAACTAAAATGGCTTCAGTGAAGCAGCAATGGCTTCTCTTGGTCAAACAAATGGGGCAGATTGTTTAGTTAGTAGGTGGCCCTACCCAAGGTCCTTGGAAGCACTTTTCATGTCTTATGTCATAAAGCATTGTCCAATTATACAATTAAAAATGACAATTAAAATCTTAAAAGACAAAAGAATGTCTTCAGCACCCAGGCTCTTGTTTTCATACAAGACTGCAGTTTGAATTATTACCAAAATGGCTACTGTAGAAGCAGCCAACACAACAACTCCCAGTCAGGTGGAGGATGGGATGTGTTTTCAAAACAGCTGTGGTTTCTTGCCATATTACATTTTTACATTGGTTCTTACAGACATGATGTAGGGCTTAGTCTAAGGCCACAGATAGCTGAAAGGTAGGCTGACAAAGCATCCTTCTACTAGATGCCCATATGCCCAGCTAAAACGAGGACATTACTTAAAATATTGTTTCCATTCCTATGAAGAAAAGAGATTGGATGTTGGGGGACAGTCAGCAGTCTCCATCATCTATTCCTATATTGGGTTTTGTCCAGCTGAGACACATAAAAAGTTCCTTTGATTTTTCAACCTGATCCACATGATCTCAGCGGGGTCTAGGTCAAGATTTCATGGACCTGACAGTCATCAGTGAGTCTCACATCAAAAGCCAGGCTGTACTTCTTTAATTCCGCTAAACCTTAGGAACGCATCTACCCTTGTACCAGGACTAAATAGTTATAGATACAAGTTTAGAACTAAACACCTAAGGATTTTCAGGAGCATTGATGTATACAAGATGCTGACTCCTGTTGCTTTGACTCTGTGTGGTATTAATTTACTATAAATGAATATAATCATTTAAATAAAATTATGCATGTACCAATTATTTTCACGAGCAAGAGTATTTTCTTGAGAAAATTTCAATATGAAAATTTCATACCACAATCAATTTTATAATACATGTAGTATTTTTTTACTTTTTCTATTCCATGAAGTGTTTTTCAAGAATTAGTTGCAGTTTCCTGCATGCAAATTTTACACTGAAGTTATAATTTAATGTTATTCTTTCATTTCATAACAGATTGTAGCCATTAGCCTATCTGACAATAGGCATTCTCATTTGAGTTGTAAGAAACTAGCATGGCTTTGTTTCTGCTTGAACTTTATAATCTACATTTCATCAATATTGGATTTTTAAAGTCAATTTTCAATAAATGGCCAGTTTACCATATCTGTTTTTGTAATTTTCCCAATTTTTGATGACCAGCAGGTTTTTTTCAATGAATTTTCACTCTATAATAAATATGGTCTAGTTTTAACTAGTGTTAAACTTCATTTTTGTACTATTTCTATAAAATCTAATCTCCTCTCCCCCATTGGCCTATCATAATAGCCTCAATTACAACAACCTAGACAAATATTATGTTATGTTTGGTGGTTTAGTAACAAAGAATTGTACAAGTAAAACCGATTTTAGAAAAATCTGGTTCAAGTCTCTCATTTTATAAATGAGACGAGGTACAGAAAGGTCACATGACTAGCTCACAAAATGAGTGTGATAACCCGAGCAAAGGAAAGGTTAGTAAGAATAGAGGTGCTGAACAAATGTGGCCAATATCAATTGATTGTGGGAGAGAATTTGGATGACTTTGGGTTTCAGGCTTGGGTGACCAGCAAGACATTAATGACATCAACTAAGAGCACATGAATTGGGGTAGAGGATAAATTTTCAAATGTCAACTTTTCAAATACCAACTGGTCATCTAAGAGAAACAGGTGGGTTTTGTTGGTGGTGTTTTGTTTTGTTTTTGTTTTTTAGAGACAGAGTTTTTCTGTGTAACTGCCCTGGCTGTCCTGGAACTCATTCTGTAGACCAGGCTGGCCTCAAACTCAGAGATCCACCCGTCTCTGCCTCTCAAGTGCTGGGATTAAAGGTGTGCACCACCACTGCCCAGCCAGGTGTATTTTTTAAAAGAAACATTTCAAAGGATTTGGGTGGAGTGACAGATTTGAGAGTTGCCAGCTTCCAGTTGATAGTCAGAAAAACAAAGTCTTCACACTAGGGTAATAAACATCAGGACGGTTCCTAGCGCCCCCATCTGGCAGCTCACAAATGCCTATAACTCCGGCTTTGGGGAATCCAGTGCCTTTGGCTCCATGGATACCTGGACTCATGGGCATCTATCCTCACACAATACACACACAAATACACACACACACACACACACACACACACACACACACACACACACACACACACAAACACACATTTTTTAGAAATAATTTTTAAATCTTTTTAAAAAATTTGGGAGAGTTTATGTATTTGGATATTTTTATATCTGTTTCCTTTTAAGATTGGTAGGATCTTACACCACAGGCCAGCGTTTTGGTAAGCAAAGTCAACTATAGCTAAGTAGGGACAGAGAGCCCTTTCCTCACAGCATCCTCCACATACTTCCTCCCTTAGAATCTCAAGTCTACTGAAGACTTGTGTGTGGTAGCGTAAAAAGACCCAAGAGGGAAAGAATTAAGAAAAGGGGAAAGCTGGGGAGGATCAAGACAGATACTGAGTGGAGGAGGCCAGAGAGAAGAAACCTAGACTCTAGATCCCAGAGGGTTGGGTAACCAGAGGGCAAAGGAATTGGGATTGAAAGAACGAACAAACCTGGTTTTCACTGTAGAGTCCAGCAAATCTGCTTATCTAAAATTTATCAGTCACTTTGGATAACTTCTTTGTTGTTGTTTTTGTTTTTCGAGACAGGGTTTCTCTGTGTAGTTTTGGTGCCTGTCCTGGATCTCGCTCTGTACACCAGGCTAGCTTCAAACTCAGAGATTCGCCTGGCTCTGCCTCCCAAGTGCTGGGATTAAAGGCGTGCGCCACTGACGCCCGATAACTACATTTTTTAAAAATCTAAGACCTTTATCTAATTCCTTCCCATCTGCCCCATCAACTTCCAAATTATCACTGACTTGTATCCACTTTCCTCCAAACCCTTCTTTCCGAGTCCTTCATGCCCAACACACAGACAGAAGCCTGCTCCTGTCGCTCAGTCTTTGGTAACAGAATCCAGGCAGCACCTAATCCTGCAGCACCTTCTGGGCATTTTAAGGAGCATGGATTCTGTGCCTCGTTGGTCTCACCCTGTGTTCTTCCCCAACCTCCTTCCTCAAGGGTGCCACAAGCTGCCTGTGCCAGGTGCTTTGAATGCTTCTGGCTGCTTTTCTCGCGGGTCTTTACAGGCTTCCTCTCTCTTCCTAGTTAAAGGAGTCTCCTCCGAGAATAATGGACCTTCTATCGTAAAGTGGCTCTGACTGCCTTCCCTTTCTCCGAGTCTTCCATAGATTTACCTCTAAGAACACACATGAGAGAATGAGCCGATGGCCTGCAGCGATCGCTCAGTGGTCAAGAGCAGCTGCTGTGGCTGAGGACCTGGGTTTGGTGTACAACACCCACACGGTAGCTCTCAACTGTCTGTAACTCCAGTTCCAAAGGGATCTGACATCCTCTTCTGGACCTCACAGACACCTACCTGTACATACATGTACCTGACTCACTTTCTTAACCAAAGATAATCGCCACAAAGGCAGACACAACTGGTCCATCTCTGCAGCCGCAGACACTGCAATAGTGTCTGCCTGGCACACAGTGCGACCTTATTTAAGACCTGTCTGGCGAATAGTTGGACCTTATTTGAGACATGGTGGAAAGAATATGTAAACCCCAATCACATGCAGCAGAAACGTGGACTTCTTTGGAGTAAGAATCCCACTCCTTTAATCACAGCACTTAGGGGGCAGAGGCAAGCACATCTCTGAGTTCGAGGCCAGCCTGGTCTGCATAGTGGGTGCTGGGGCACCCAGAACTAGATAGAGAGACCCTGTCTCAAAAGCAGAAAGTACACACTTGTATTTCAGTGAGGCGTGCGTGGAGTTTACCAATCATGAACCCTGGGTACCGAGGCTGCTCGCCCTTCCGCGCCTGCGCAGTCATCGGCCGAGGGATCGGCCCACAGGAAGGACAGAGGCCGACCGGGGGCGCGCGTTGATGACGCCATCGGTGTTTGCCTGGTAGCCCGTAGTAACCCGGAGTCTGCGGAAGTGCAGCTGCAGCACTGGCGGCTGAGACAGGTAACTTCTGTCAGTCAGCTGCTTCCGGTCACGCAGACCCCTGGGGTGAGCAAGTGGGATCCTGCGCGACCTGTCGTGGGGTGATCCCGTGGGTTCTGTCCGACCTCCTGTGGAGTGAGCCCGTGGGGTCCGGACACGAAAACTGTCACCGCGTCATTAGCGCTCTGTGCTTTTCAAGCCGTGGAGACAGTTAACTGCAAAGGTGGCGGGCGCGCAGGGTAGATGGTGACCACACCAGCCAGCGGTGCTTAGAGCTGTTTTTAAGGGTGACAGCCGGGTTCTTGTTGATGCTGAGCTCAATTCGGATCCCTGGTGTTTTTATTTTGTTTCCACGTGCAATTAGTACATTCATTTCTGGAGAGTATGTTGTGCTTCGTGTGATTCTGACGAGGCTGTCAGTGATTCACTAGTTGGTAAAGATTAGGTTGTCCAGTATTGGGGGCTACGGAGTAGAATATTATTTACTGTCGACGGTCTTTTAGCAGGGACGGTGCCCAACACTTTACATTTCATTATCTCCTTAGTTCATGCAGTAGTGTTGTGGATTATGAATTATTATGTCTGATTTACAGAGAAAATAAGTGGAGCTTAGTTCCATAAAATTGACCGGATGAAAATTACCAGTAACTAAAAACAAAGCCAAGGTTTAAATTCAAGGTTATGGTATGATTTCAAAGCCTGTCTCCCTCCCTCCCTTCCTTCTTTCCTTCCTTTTCTTTATTTCTTTCTGTTTTTTGTTTGTTTCTAAATAGCCACCATTAGTGGTTGAATCCCAGAGTTTGCTCACTCATCTGCCCATATGTTTGTGCATGTGTGTGTGTGCACACCTGCACCTGCAAGTGTGTAGTATGCGTGTGCATGTGGAGACAAGGGGTGATAACCTCAACTGTGTTTTCATAGATGCTGACCACCATTTTTTTTTTTTTGAGACAGATTCTCTCACTAGCCTGGAGCTTGCCATGTAGACTGGGCTGGCCAGCACCCTCAGGACGCACCCGTTCTCACCTCCCCGAACTGGAGCTGCAGACCTGTGTGCAACTTTTTTACTCAGGTTCTGGGGATGGAACTTGGGTCCTTGTGCTTACACAGCAGGCGGTTTTTCTGCTGAGCTGCCTCTCCAGGCTGTTTTGATATTTGTATCTATGTTGTAAATTCTCATATTCTTGGAGTTAAGACATCCATAAAACATGTCTTCCTCCTACATGTACACATATACCACACACACACACCCCTACACACAGCATCTTTATCTTTAAGGATGACATAAATGGCAAATGATGTTGTATTGTAATACTTTCTATTCAGAGCTCCAAGAGATGTGTAAATATTTTTGTAATGAAAATGTCAGTAAATAATTTAAAGGCATTAAGTGGCTTTCTTGCCTTCTTTCTTCCATGATGCAGTCACAAACATGTGTTCTGGGTTGAAATGTGGTGGTTTCCTCAGAGCCTTTGCTGGTTTTGATTCTCTGTTGCTGTGTTTGAGCTTGATGAGCTTCCTGTGGCTCATTTTTCTTTGTCACCAGTGGACAGTAAGAGGCCGTAATGAACCTGTAGATGGTGGAAGCAGACATCTAGATTTTACATCCTAGCTCTTTTGCTTAGTAGGCAATTGAGGGAGCCCAGGCAAGTGCCTGACCTCCCTATACCCCAGTTTCCTCATTTGTCAGGTGGGGACAATAGAATTACTTAGATGGGTGTTGTGATGACAGAAAGAGTTCCTGTGATGAAGAGCTTAGAGGGGAGCAGCCAAGGGCTCACTGATGTTGTTGACTGGTCTTGGCTTTCCATCTTTGAAAATGACACTCTAGTCCTTTGGAGATTGTTGTCCCTGGAATAATATTTAATCTGTGTGTGAGCTTTACCAGATAACTGGTTGCCTTTACTGGAAGCCTGCTATTTTAGATGTCTTGTTAAACTTCCCCTCATTGCGTCTTTATTATGCAATAAACATTTTGCTTGCAAATTGAAATATTTTGCTTTTTAAAAGTTTATTATAATTATGTATTTCTGATTGGATGTGCATGTATGTGTGTGCTGCTGCATGTATTTCGGTAAAAGGACAACTTGTGGGAGTCAGTTCTTTCCTTCCACCATGTGGGTTCAAGAGATTGAATTCAGATCACAGCTTGGTGGCTAACCCCTTTACCCAATGAGACATCTTGCCAACCTAAAATATTGTGTCACAGTAATGGACTTTGAATTTCTGCTTAGACTTCTGAGGTTATTTCAATGTTGTCTGGTATATGGAAACCCTGCAGAAGTATATGAATGTACTCATTATGGGTATGTAAGGATTAGTTTTTCCTTCAAAACTGCTGTTACATATCACATGTACACGTAGACCCTTAGAGTAGTTCTCTTTCTCTCCTTTCTTCTTTCAAGGGACTAAAAATTGTTTTAACCCAGAACAAACATTTGTAATCCCTGCTAGTTTTGGATGTTAGTTTGGAGTTGTTTTGGGCTAAATGGCAAGATTCTCTCTAAAATAAAAATGGAATAATCTACTTATGAAAATTTTAAGCTGTGTCCCCACTGACCCCAATCTGTTGGGCATTTCAGGCCATGTCTAGCTACAGGTTAATGTTGATTCCTATGGCACCCTACTTAGAAGCTTGAGAATGAGTTAAGACTCATATTCATGATACAACTTGCTTTGAAGATGTATTCTGTGGGTTTTGAAATGACTATTTTTATTTTATGTATGTTACTAGAAAATGCACAGGACAGAAATTACCATTTTAAGTTCTTGCACAGTTGGGTGGTATCAAACACATTCACAGAGCTATGTGGCCACTGCAATGGGTTTCCAGAACTTCTTTTTTATCATTCCCCAAAGAAATGATGCACCCATTAAGTAATAGCTTCCCATCCCCCTTCCCCCTCCCTCCAGACATCCTCTGTTCCTGCTCTGTTGTGTTTGCCAGCTCCAGAAATCTCATGTTGATGGAATCCTGCCGTATTGGCCCACTTGTGACCGGTATATTTCACTCAGAATGTTCTCAGAACTTATTCATGCTGCAGCCTATATCAGAACCACATCCCTTTTTAAAGATGGATACTGTTTCACTGTATGGGTATTTCTTACTCTGTACTTTCAGGGTGTGTTGAATTTGGCATGAACATAGTCCTTGGTGATTGATTATAAGCTTACAGAGCGTATAAATGGAGATGTCAACTGAAGTGATGTTGTTTTGCATTATGAACACAGTGCCTGGTGGATGTAGTCAAGCTAGAGTTGAAGCACAGGTTGTAGTATGATATGGAGCCTAAAAATAGTAAAGAAAATAACAGTGATGATATTACCTGCTGTTATGTTATGAAACATTCACAGCACCACACATAGTCTAGGCATTTTGCCCATAAAATAAGAACTTTTTTAGTTCCTATTTTATTCATGAAGAAACTAGCATAGGCAAATTGGATGGATTATTAAAATTATGAAGTTGTTAGGTGGCGAAACTGAGATCTGAACTTGGTTGGGCTCTCTGGCTCTGAAGCTCACTTGTCTGTAGATTTGTTCAATACTAACTTTGTAGTGAACTTGTTTGTAACAGAATTGCTGTGTTCCTTGCCTGCCTTGTCCCTTTCACTGTCTTAAAACCGGACATAACTTCTGAGCTCATCGGGCAGTGCAAGGACAAACCCACATTCTGAAAGAACAACTGGTGCCTGGTTTGCACGGAGCAATCACATCCACGGGGAATTCAGACAGTATTTCCACAACTGTGTTCTTAATCCTTTTAGAGCCTTGTCTTTGAACACTGTGTAGTTCCCACACTCAGAGCCCTGTGGGCGGGAGCTTTTTGTTCTTAGCCTCAGTACTGTCAGAATGGATTCTGACACACTCATTTCACTGCTAATTTGTTACTCTGTGATGCTTGATTCCTGAAGAAATTGTTGTGAAGTAGCATTTATGCACTCATTGCCAGTTCCATTGTCATTTCTCTTGACTTTTCGTTTGCTTACACTTTATTTCTTTGACATTTGCAATTGAAGGTCTAGTTTTGGAAAGCAATGGAAATCAAGATGTGCTTGCTCTATTTTGGCATGAAAGGCAAATCCCCTTGTTCTTTTTGTTACTAGTGATATCAGGCATATGTCACAGTATACTGTACGTTTGGAGGTCTGAGCTGTCTGTTATGTCTTGTAGGTGGAGCCTCTATTACCCTTTGTTGGGCATTTGAGATTCTCAAGATCAGGATGCTCAGCCATTTGCCTATATCTATAGATTTAGAAAAATCCATTCTGCAAAAAAGAATTCCAGCCGGGCCTTAGTGGCACACGCCTTTAATCCCAGCACTCGGGAGGCAGAGCCAGGCGGATCTCTGTGAGGCCAGCCTGGGCTACCAAGTGAGCTCCAGGAAAGGCACAAAGCTACACAGAGAAACCCTGTCTTGAAAAACCAAAAAAAAAAAAAAAAAGCCAGCATGCTGTGTTCAAGTGAGCCATCCTTGCTTATAAGAGGCTCCTCCAAGTCTTTTACTCGTATGTATTTAGTTATCATTTTCCTATAGTGATATGTGACCTGTAGTAGATTGCAGAGAGAATGAATCAGTATGAGAGGCCCAGAGATACTTGGGTTAAGGTGGCATAGTTTCAACATTGGTCCTGGGTGTGAGTGACGAAGCTGGGTGATTCCAGAGTTCTACTTTGGGCAATTGGGTAGATCCAGTGAGTAAGATTTTAAGCTAGAGCTGCAGGACACAGAGGACATAGTTCATCTAAGAAGTGGGAGAAAGAAAGTCCAAAAGTAGAAAGATAGAGGAGAGAATGTAATCACAGATCCTAAAAGAGGAGAGACACTTGTGGGGAGCGGGGGTAATCAGTGCATTAATTCCCTCAAATTAAAGGCTAAGAAGACCCACTGAATTTGTTCATGAAGACGTAATTTGCCTCCACTGTGGAACTTCAGTGGACTGGTAAGATGTGAACAGAGCCTAGTGGTCAGAAAGGGGTTTGGGGAGAAAGAATAGTCAGAGTGGTGTGGAATAGAGAGTGCTTTGTTCACTTGTAGGGTTTTTTGATCAAAAGATTGGATCAGTA